ATGAAAACCTTCTGGCGGGTGAGACAGCGAGGCAGGAGTGGGGCCTTTGGGGTGGGAACAGTCAACTTCTCCCGAGGAATCACCCCGACTTTCCCCCTGAGGAGGGAATATCCCTCCCGTGACTGTTTTCTCAGCATCCTTTTCCAGCACTTCCCAGTCCTCAGCTGCAGGGATTTGAGGAACTCTCCCAGTCTCCATCCCCAGCAAAGGAAGGAGTTGGCAGAGGGAACCTTTCCTTGCTCGCCATCCTGGAGCCTCCTGCGCCTATCCCGGTTATTTTTTCCCCTCTCTTTACTATTCAGGGAAGGGGAAAATACAGAGAAAGAAGAAACTCTCTGAAGAAAGTAACCGGATTCACCGCAACTCGTCCAGTTGGATCCAGTTCTCATCCCCGGTGGGATCCTGCTTACAGGATACTGATAATTAATAATGTCGGCCTAGTAATATTAGCAATAGTGATGAAGATGTTAATAAATTCATGGTCTTGTTAAGGGGAGGGTTAAGAGTGAGTCCAGCCGGGCCTGCGAGTGCTGGATCTGAATGAAACTCGAGGGCTTTGGGACCCCCCGGTCCCTGCTGCACTTACAGACCTCTCCCCTCCACTCTCACCCAGTAGAAAGGCTTAAATGAACCTCATGAATGGGACGACCCGGGTGACAGCCACACTTCTGCCCTGGGGACCGCATAGAAACAGTCGATGCGATTCACAGGGAAACAGGACAGGTTTCCCCGAGCCGCCGGACGAGGAATTTGATCTCTTGGCGCGGAAGGAGGCGGGGTTTGAGGGGCTTGTGCCACTCTGAAAAGGGTAAAAAAAAGGGATCGAAAGGGGCATTTATCTCACGATCTTCCACTCAAAGTGTTGTTCAGGAGACCAAGAACACGAGGCACGTCCCTATCCCCGGCTAACAAGTCTCCCATCCCCTCTGGGAGATGCTGACCACCTGTGGACTGTCCCCGCAGTCGGTCACGGTGCCAGTCCCCACCCAGACCCTGTCGGTCCCCTCCCTGCCCTCGAGAAGGGCAGATAAGAATTATTGCATCTTATCTTAATTATCTCGTGTTTATTCTTCAGCTCGGGACAGCCCGGTGTTTGTGACCCATCAGGAGGATTCCTTCTGCGCGTCTTTGGACTCCCGAACTCCGGCAGCATTTTCCCATCTCCTATTTATTTGCTTTTCCCTTTTCCCTTTTTACCCCCAAAGATAGCTTAGCAGACTGTGAACTAACCAAGACACAACGCGGGGCTATAAATTTCCCTGGGAATTTCTAGGGACGAGTCCTTTTGGTGGTTACCGAGTCCGCAGCCAAACACGCAGCGCAGCCTCAGCACTGCTCGCTATAAATCACCCCTCCAGGAGCCAGGAGTGACATTTCTTACGCACGACACAAAACTTTCTCCGCAGAGAGTTATATTTAACTCCGAAACGAAGCATCTCAAGACTCGGAGCGCTCCGGAGCCTTTGGAAATGCATCATTCCTTCCGTTTCGCCTGCACAAAACCCTCCCGGGTCTGTCTGGGGTGAAGATTTCTTACAGGGTTTTTTTCTCCCAAATTGCTTTCGGAGGGGAACGATCCCCCGTGTCAGGAGAGGGGTTTGAAAGCAAATAAAGCAGATTTTAGGGAAGGGAGAGATTTCTCTTGCTCTTCCCTCTCAGGTTAGAGCAGCACCGAGGTTCCTGGAGCCCCTTTGTGCCCCTCGAGGGGAGAGGTCCCCGCCACCAAGAACTCCTCGGAAAATCGAAGTTCTGCCACTGCTGAGCTCCTCATCCTTATCTGCCCATGGATCAAAGCCCGAGGGAGAGGGGCGGCAGCTCCTGGAGCGCTTTAGGCCGCATCAGCACTCGGGAAGTGGGGAAGCAGCTCAGTGCGAAGGGATCCGGAGCAGCGGGCAGGGAAGGGATCTCTGCCTCCCATGGACTATCCCACCGTGCTCCGGGACAGCACGGCTTCTTTTTCCAGGCATCAAAGAGCTAAAACTGCCCCGCTCCGCTTTTATCCTCCTCAATCCCCAGCTATTTTGTTTTATTCCTGTTGGGGGAAAGACAGCAGCATCCCCCAAACTGTGTGGGAATAATTACTGTCTCCCTCAATAAATAAGTGAAAATCAAGTAAAAAATAAACGAAAGGTTAAGTAAGGGGTGGGACAGAGCTCTAATAATTTGAGAATCTCCATCTACACCTTTTCTTTGACCATCTCAACTACCCATAGAGGAGGATTTAAAAAAATAAACGTGCAAACTGCAGAATTAGGTTCAGTCAGCGTTTGATTGTTAACAATAACCTGATATTTCTTTCTCCTGTGGATTATGAAGGTCTGAACCAAAGATCTTCTCACACTTTCCCCGCAAGGGGAATTGAGACCAATAGTAATAACAACTACCATAACAACAGCAGTAATTTGCTGTCGGATCCAGGGCAAGGGACTAGGAAGGAAATTTGGGAAGGTGGTTCCTGAGAGATTCCCGGTGTCTCTGCACACCCTTTGATGCTGCGGCTTTCCAAAATCGCGCGCAGTCGTCACAAGCCCTGCGTTTTGGGGAAGAACAGGTGGGAAAGGGAGCGAGGGGGTGCAAACCAGGAGCCTGGAAGCCCTGGGAAGGGGCTCCGCGGGGGAGTTGGGAAGCCGCCACCTTCCATCCCGCTGCCCTCCTGGAATCTGCCCGGTTTGGCTGCCCGGGGTCCCCAGGCAGGTAAGACCCGAGGGGCCTGAGAGGCTGCGGAGAGGAGCAGATGGTGGGGGCCCCGCAGCGCCGGGGGCAGCGAGAGGGGAGAAGGTGGAGGCCTCTTTCTGGGAAGAAATCCTCTCCAAGATCCCCTCTTTCGTCATCTGACCCGCACCCCCACAGAGGGACCAAAAAAGCCTTTCCCGACGTGACTCCAGCTCCGCACATCCCCTCCTCAGCTCCAGCTCCACTTCCACACCCCCATCTCGTTGTCCCCAAAGTCGGGGCTGGAGTGGCTCCAGAGGAGGAGCCCGGGGAGCTTTGCTGGCTAAAATTTTGACCCCGTCCGATCCAACCTTTCTATTTACCAAGGAAACTGTGTTTTCACCTCAGGTCTAAGCCTTGGTTTTGGCTTCACTGAGAGGATGCACAACCAAACTTTCTCCTCCACAACTCCCGAGTTGTCTCGGGGCTAATCCAGCAGCTCCAGGAGGCAGCTGTATTTTAATGCCATAAAGCATCCCCTTGATGGAACGGTGGAGGGAGATCACGGTGGAAAATTATCAGACAATACGAAACAATTGATTCAAGGGCGAAATAAACATCTATCCTTTTCTTTTTTCATTTTACAGCCATAAATCATCTATTGTAAGCATCGTTTAAATATAATACCTTCATTTGAACGCGAGTGCAACATAATATAAAAAGCACTCCTGGAATCAAATTAGAAATCGATTTCTCTTGCAAAGGGAATGACATGAGAGTTGCTTTGAATCTTTATATTCACTTTGGGTTGTTTTATGCAAAGAAGGAGGCAGAGAGTTTCAGAGATCATTTGTAACCTAAGATATTCTCTTTCTGAGTCTCTCAGCATCAGCAAAGTCGGCAGAATAAATGAATAAATAGACACGCAGCTCTGGGAAGAGTTTTCTTATTCTTTATATTGAAAGGTGAGAGTTGGAACTGGCTAAAACTCAAGTTTTCTCTCGGGGGGATTTAAAGGAGTGAGGGAAGTCTGATGCCATGGCTGTCTGTGTTGCGGTTTTGCAGTTTCTTAACAAATGTTACCCCAACGTGTTGCATCAGCCAAACCTTCCCGCTGAAGGACGTGGTTTTGCCTTTCAAAGTGAACTTTTGGCCTGGGGTGGAAAAAAAAAAAAAAAAGAGAGAGAGAGAGAGGGAGAGAAAGAGCCCTCCTGGTTCTTCTTGGAGGCTGAATAACCAGTAAATATCCTGACAAGTAACAAATGACTGTGGGCGTCATATTGTTGGGTGCTCTTGTCTCCCTTCTGCTAACAAGTAAATAAATGTTGCCTACCTATGTTTCCATTCTCTGAGCAGTGGAGTGGCCGGGCTGAAGGCAGTGTCTTCCCACCTACTCCTCAGCTGGACCCTGCTAGGGGAAAGCTCCAATCTGACAACAAATTCGGGGCAAGATCAAAACAGGTTTGCCATGAAAAAACAGAGCTTGATGTTCCAGAATTGTTTAAACCCCTGAAACCTTGATTTTAGTAGTGTAGGTGAATGGGTGAATGGATGGATGGGAAGATCCGTAGATAGACACACGGATCATTTTTAGTTCCATTCCTTAATTGCTAAGCTGGGCATGGTATTTCTCCAACAAAAGACATTCTGTCTTCCTAACTTTATTTCATCACCTCATTAGAATATTGATCTAATTACTCTGCTTTTACCCACACTGGCCAGAGACACAAAGCTGGTGTGACAAAATTAAAACGCATGGGGAGTATTTCTCTTAGGAGCTTTTCTTGGACTCCTCATCCCAGAAGACGCCAAGCCACTTTTTAGGGAGAAGTTTCCAAGCGAATCAAAGAGCATCCTTTTGTGCCTGGGGGGACAGAGTCCTCGCACCTCCCTATCCCTTTCTCTCTTCTTTTTCTTTTTTTTTTTTTTTTTCTTCTCACATGGAACTGGGATTGGGGGGAAACCTTTATGAATTGGGGCAAGGGGAAGTTCTGCTGAAATTGGCTCATCGCATAACTCGGGGGCCTTTTTAGCACTTAAAACAGTTGTGGATGATTCTAATTCTTCCCCCAGCCCCTCTTGCCCTCCACCTCCCCGCACCCCACCTCCCTCCTCTCTTTTAAAGTCTTTGAGGAAAGATTTTGACGTATTCGTGTTGTTATCAGATTGATGGGCAGGGTTTGATTGAAACCCCTTTGTCATGCAAATGTCAGGCCCTTGATGGATGAGCTCAGAGATGTGACAAACTTCGGGAGCCCCTCGCTCATTGGGCTGGGCCGACGCCGTGCCCGCCCCCGCGGCTCCCCCCGGCCCCGCCGAAGGCTGCGGGGTTCGAGGGCCAGCGATCCATGGAAGGAAGTTTTACAGCTTTGACATACTATCTAAAGGTTGTAGGGCAGGCGGAATCCCCCCCAAAACAGGCTGACCCTCCTCCATCAGTGGCAGATGGACAATACCAGGATGAACTCCTTCTTAGAGTATGCAATTTGTAACCGTGGGACGGGCGCCTACCACCACTTAGAGCCGAGCTCCCCTTCCTTCCCCTCGTGCTCAGGTAGCCCCGCCAGTGACACTTTGAACGGAGACGGCCGCTTTGGCGTGGGAGGGAGCGCGGCCGCCGCCGCCCACCTCCCCCAGCAGACCCCCGGCTACCACCCTCCCTCGTCCGGCCGCGCCGGGCCCTTCGCGGGCGCTGCCCCGGCCAGCGGGTACCCGGCCCAGAGCGGCGGCCCCGGCTACGGCCACCACCAGCTCTTCCTCGGCCAGCAGGACGCGGACGGGCTGTACTTCCAAGCGGCCGGGTACCCCCCCAGCGCGGCCCCCAACCTCAGCTCGCTGGCAGACACCTACTGCGGGGCGGTGGCGAGCGCGGGGCAGTACCAGCAGCACCACCTTTACGGGCAGGAGCAGCCCAGCTACTTGCCCGGAGTTTACAGCAACCTCTCGCCTTCTTTAAACGAGGAGCAAGACCCCGCGTGCCCCTCCGAGCCGTGTCCCGGCTCCAGCGCCGCGCAGACCTTCGACTGGATGAGGGTGAAGAGGAACCCGCCCAAGACAGGTGAGTTTGGGGGGAGCAGAGAGCAGCGAGTGGGTCCCCACCCGAGGGAGGTGGGGGGCAGATCCTCAGCCCTGCCAGGGAAGGCTACCTTCCCCGGGATCTGTACCCGAGGTCACTGGGCTCGTCTTCCACGAGAACGTGGATTTGTTTGGGTTTGGGTGTGTTTGGTTTTGTGGTTTGTTTGTGCTTTTTTTTTTTTTTTTTTTTAAGTCCCAGCCAGAGATTTCCCAGACACGTCTGATGGAGGGTCCCTGAGCTCAGTTTCCCGCAGGCCCAATGCGTTTTAAGCCCAGCTCGGAATGGGAAGGGCTCTGGGCTTCCTGCCTCTTCCACAGTCGTGGCTTCCATCTCCCCTATTGTTCAACTTCCTTCTCCACGATCTCCCTTAAATCACAGTCTTCCCTCCTCCTCTCCCATCATCACCTTCACCCTCCCCTTCCACCCTTCCCACTCAGTTTAGTCTCACGCAGTTTACAGGGAGGTGGAGGGGATGGTTACAAGGGAAGAGCAGAGCCCGAGGAGCTCCGTCCCTCCGGGCTGGGCGCTGTGAGGAGCCGGGAGGGAGCACGAAGCTCCGGGCGGTGGAGGGACCAAACGCCCAGGGCAGGAGGGGAGAGGGGGAGAGCCCCCCCGCCCCAGAGAGGGGGTTCCTCTGGCTGCTCCTGCCCTGTTGTTGTTTGTCGTTCACAGCCAAAGTGTCGGAGTACGGACTGCTGGGCCAGCCCAACGCCATCCGCACCAACTTCACCACCAAGCAGCTGACGGAGCTGGAGAAGGAGTTCCACTTCAACAAGTACCTCACCCGGGCCCGCAGGGTGGAGATCGCCGCTACCCTGGAGCTCAACGAAACCCAGGTCAAGATCTGGTTCCAAAACAGGCGGATGAAGCAGAAGAAGAGGGAAAAGGAAGGTCTTGCCCCGGCTGCTGCCTCCAGGTCTGCGAAGGAAGCGGGTGAAGCCTCCGATCAGTCCAACTGCACCTCACCTGAGGCCTCCCCCAGCTCCGTGTCCTCCTGAGACCTGTCCCGTGGGGGCACAGAGCTCTGCCCTCGAGGGTCTGCAGAGTCCAGCAGACCCACACGAGCCTCCCATGCACAGCCCCGCCCGCACACACGCGTGCCAGTGAAGCCACGCGTCCCTCCGAGCATCCCTTTGGCTCCCCACGCGTGTGATACCGATGTTCCCACTCGCATTTCTCTCTCTTAATTTATAGCCCCTCTGTAAGACGCTGGACTCCAAAGGAGCGGCCGTGTCCTCCTGTATCCTTAGCAATAGGCGTTGGTCTCAGGGACGTTTCTCCCTCTCCCTTCTCCCCTCCACCCTTTAGGAACTGCACTTTCAACCACAGAAAATTTAAAACGAATTTAGTTTTCTCCCGTCTTAAAAAACGTGCAAAACGATTTCTCCCTGCACGAGTCTCACGTTTGATGTGTTTTTTTCCTCCTCGCGAGACCGTAAAAAAAAAAAAAAAAAAAAAGAAAAAGAAAAGAAAAAAAAAGAAAAAAAAAAAAGAAAAAAAGTTTGGGGTACTTTTACTTTTTTCTCTCTCTCTGTTATTTACTGTATGTATATCTTGGAATGAGATCTGAGGCGCCCAAGATGCTCGAGGCCTGTGCAAAGACCCAAACACCAAGCAAAAAAACAATTGCAGCTCCTCTGCTACCATTTTGCACTATTTCTGCTTTACAGGGTTTTCCACACGCTCTGCGACGGTGACTGCTGCTGCTCCTGGGGGAGGGAGGGTTGGGTTATCAGAGAAAACGAGGTGAGGCGCAGGCTGACCTCGGGGTGCTTTGGTCACTGTCGCAGGAGGTGTGAAGGTGGATGGGAACAAGGTTGTGGGGGGACCGCGGGGCTCGGCCCCCCCGCGCTGATGCACTGGCTGCTATTTATTGTAGCTCCCGATAGCCTGAGGTCTTGGAGCGGAGCAGCACGTTCCTCGCACCCCCGCCCTCTTAGGCTTATCGGAGTCAGATAAACCCGCTATTTAACCGTGGCTAAATGTTTTCCCTTCCCCGTGAGAAAGTTTAGGGTAGGACGGAGTGTAAAACCAGGGCAACTGTTTGTTAAAAATTGTTTTAAAGGGAAAAAACGTCATCGAGAAAAAAATAGCGGTTTCTTAATCGGAATCTCCCATTTCCCCTCCACTCCCTTCCCCGTGCTCTGTATCTCGAAATGAAACTACCTCAGCCTATTAAAGTTTACTTTTTCCACATGGAAGTCCTCCCGACTTTAAACGAAATGGAAATCTCTCCCGTCCAGGGAAGTGCGGGACACGGGGAGGGGGGAGCCTGGGCTTGCAGGGAGGAGGAGGAAGGAAGAAGTCTCCGGCTGCTGCCAAAAATTCCAAAGAAAGGGGCCGATCCTGCTTCCCGCGGGTACCTCCGGACCCCCCGCCCTGGCACCGGCAGGATCGGGCCCGGCCCTGCGGGAGTTTCAAAGCCAGTTCGCCCCGACGGGACCCGATGGAAACTCCGCTTCTCTCGGAGTTATTTCCCAGCGCAACGAGGCCTGATGAGAAGGAAAAATCATCCTCATCCTCAGTGCAAGGGACATGGCACAGAAGGAAATCTGCACCGCTGCAGCAGCAACAGCAACTGGGACGGACTCGGGGTCCGGGGTGGGGGCAGAGCGAGTTTCTCGTTTATACGGAACGTTTATACAGCTCCAAGCCCAAACGAAGTGTCAGTGTGGGTTCTTGCCTTCAGCTTCCCCGGAAAGGGTGTTTTCCCCGGCACGAATAACACCCGAGAGCAGCTCGCGTGGGGGACGGAACCCGGCGCGGGGGGGAGGAGGCAGCGGGCCCGGTATAGCTCTGACCTTTTTACCTCGAAACGCCTCTGGGATTTCTAAACAAGTAAACAGAGGGGCTGCCAGGAGAAACTATTGTTCTGGCTTGGCCAAATTTGCAAACCTTTTCGGTGGGGGCGGGAGAGGGGGCGAGGAATGAGCAGAGTACCTGCTGCGGCCGCGGCCGAGCCCGGCCCCGCGTCCCGGCCCTCCCGGAGGGCCCTGGGCGATGGGACATCGCTCTGCCCCGCAGATAAAATCTTCCCCCGTCTAATACACTTCTTTTGCTCCAAAGAAAAGGGTTTTGAGTGTCCAATTAGCTCAGAGGTAAGGCTGGGGAAAAAAAAGTGTAGAGGGGAAAGGTGAAACGAGGATTTTGTGCAAAATGTCAGGAGAGGAAAAAACCCAAACGAACAGAAACCCCCAAGCAGCTAAACCTGGCTTTAAAAGCTGTTGGGGTGGGCCAGCTTGGTTTAACCTGTCGGTTGGACCAACGCGATGGAAGATTTCGTTGGCTCTGTGTGATTTCAGCTGGCTCATGGAAACAAGGGCGTCGTGCCTCAGAAACCTCGTGCGTTTCCACTGAGACGATTTTCATCCCACTGCGTCTCTGTGCCCTGCTCTGCTCCCACAGGGCCCCGGTCCCGGGACTGGGAGCGGGTCTAGGAGTGGGATCAGCTCGCTCCCAGGTGAGACGGGCAGCGCCGGCCTCGGAAGGGCCGGGGGAGAGCGGAAAGGCCGGGATAAAAAGGAGGGGACTGCTGTGTCAGTGTGTCGGGCACAACAAAGGCTCCCAGCTCCCATTTGAAACTCAAAGGGACGCTCCGGAAGAGCCCTCAGAGCCGGTGCCGCTGCTCCCTTACATATGTAACCCCCCTCGGGGTCCCCCTCAGGCCGGTCCCTCGACCCCCTCGCTGCCCAGCCGTGTTTCTCTAACAACGATCACCGCACGCAGCTAATCTCTTTTCCCCCCCTTGCTCTCCCTCTAAGTTTCTCACGCTCCCTTTTGTCTCAGGAGCCCAAACCCACCGCTGGGAAGCAGGAGCCGGCTGGAAAGGCCACGCCAGGACACCCGCGGCCCGGGGGTCCCTCGGCCGGGGGCAGATGCTCCTGTGAGGGGCTGAGGGACACTCGTGTCTGTCCCACACCCGGAGCTGATGGAGAGAGGGCCCCGGTGCTTCAGTCCCCACACAGGTACCTGTGTATCCATGTGGGATGCAGAGAGATCGTGCAGAAGCCTCTAATCAAGACTTGGCCTTATTGCCATAGTTGGGCTTTATCACAAAGGCGAGGTCTACACACAGTCCTTTTTTTTTTAATATATAAATGATGCACAACACCGTGGCTGTTCATGATCCACATATTCCCCTGTCTCCACGTGTCTGTCCATGGGTCGCTAGTGTTGCATTTTTCATGAGCAGGAGAATTAGCCAAGTCCCCCCCTACACTCACACACAAAGCCACGTCTTAATGGAGATTTATTCTTTTAATATCCCAAAGGAAGGGGAAATTCCCAGTTACAGAAATGTAGCCGTGTAAATGATTAACGGCAGTCAGCGTGTTGGAGCTGCTGTCCCTCTGCAGGAGGAGGGGATGGGGAAGGGACACTGAGAGTCCCTCTCCTCTGGCCCTGTCCCCGGAGCAGAGACCCGAGGAGCTCCTCCAGGGCCATCTGTTCCTTACCCCTTGGTGTGAAATGTTTCTCTTCTCCCTAAAGCATTTGTTCTCACAATGTGAGGCCCTTTTGATCTCGGGAGAGGACATTCTATTAAAAAATAATAATAATAATACCCGGAAGGCCTCCTCACTTTCAACTCCCCTTTGCTGGCTGCTTTTAACTGCTCCCGGAGCCTCTTGGCACTGGAGGTGTGAACCCTTCCTGGGGGTCTCTGTCTGGGGACGAAACCTCCCCCTCAGTGACTCAGCTGTGGCCGGGTTGGGCTGGCACTGGCCCCGAAAGCCTTTGAAACCTCAAAGTGGAGCAGAAGAGGGGAGGAAGGCTTTTGGGTTTCTCCAGACTCGTTTCACACTCCAAAATGAGTCAGAGGCCACCCCTTCACCAGCTCTCAGTGAAACCACAGCGATATGAGCGTGAGATGTTTCCATCCCACGGTGAGGGAGTCAGAACTGAAGCAGGGGTTTGATCCATCTTCTGCAAGTGGCACCAAGGCAGGAAGGTGGCCAAGCACCTGCTTCCACACCAACACTGCCAAGGGATTCACCCTAAACCAGGTAAACCAGGAAGAGTTTTCATGCCTGCTAAATTTTTTGCAATAACTTGACACGAACATATTGTTGAGTGTCACTAAAATCCCTGGAGAACCAGGTAAAGGACCTGAAGCTGTGGGAAGTGCTGGGTGAGTGCAGCTGCCCTCAGATCCCTGACTGGCACATCCAACAGCCCTTCCTCATCCCCAGGGACCTCCCCTGCCCAGCACCATTGGGCTTGATCATGGGAGCTGAGTATATATTTGGATTATATACATGTTTATTTGGATTATATACATGTTTATTTGGATTATATGTGTTTATAGACAATGCATTTCACTTGTATGTGTATCAAATATAGAGTGTATTTATTCTTCAGGATTGATGCTGCATAGGTCACCTGGATTTGAGCTGGGGACCCTGGATCTGCTGCCTCAAGTCTGACCCCAGCTGTGGGGTCCTGCTTGGCTCCACCGAAGGGGCCACCCCGCAGTGCTGTCCCCTTGCTCACCCCTCTGCCCTCGGCCCTCTGCTTCCCCCAACACAGATATTTCAGCACTGAGCAGCTTCAGGGCTGTTTTAGCCTCTCAGGCAGGTGAAATGAGGTCTGGGGCAAAGGGCTTGGGTGGAAGGAACAATTGCTGAAGTGAGTGTACAGAATGTCTCCGTGCTCTTCAGAGGCCTCACCTATCCTTTCGGTTTACACTGCCCTGACAGCTCCATTTCAACCCCAGCCTTCACGTGGACTTGTTCAATATTTACTCAGCCTGATGGGTTTGCTCAGAACTTGCCTCCATCAGCCTTGCTCTGTCGGGTTCCCTTCCCCTCGGGCCCAGGTTCACACAGAGTTCAGCCTGCCATGAATTCACCCAAAGATGGGCCCGGCTGGGCCCGGGGAGCAGGGCCGGGGTCACGCCTGGGGCTCCCAGCCCAGCCAGCCCTCCCCACGGCCAGCACTCAGCACTCTGACCAGGAGGTTGCTCTGAAAAACCAGCTGGGCTTAAAAAGGAAAAAGCCCT